CTTTTAACTATTTATTTTTTATTTCTGAATTTGGTCTGTATATTTTGTCCTAAGCTGGTATCAAAAATGAACTAGTTTACATAGTTGCATTTAGTAGTCAAAGTGGAGATCATCTTACTCTTATGAGCTATCAATACTTTTTCAAAGGAGTTTTTCATTAATGATACGTCAAAAGATAATTATTAATTTATTTAAATAATCTATTTCATGTGCTAGGTCTATTCCAGTTTGGAGAAAATGTAAGTGAACCAAACATATAAAATTTCCCTCTTTATGAACTTTATATTGCACTGACCAAAAATCATATTTGGTAAGTCAGTTAAAAAACTATCTAAACAATGTAAAGATGTTAAAAATGCAATGAGAACTAAATCTGCATGATGTAAAATCTTAGAGGACACATTTTATTTTTATACCTGTCAAGTTTTTTCTTTCTATCTAAGCATTGTGGTTCAAAAGAATAATAAATTAAAATATCAAATCCACTCATTGCTGTCCAGTCAGAACCAACACACAGCTATCTGTCCAATTGGGTTTCCAAGGTGTTAATTGCAAGAGGAAAAATAGCAATCTTTCTCCCTGGAAGCTGCTGGTAGATTATGGACTTGGGGTTTGCAGTACAACTCTGTACACAATAGATAAGCAGGGGAAAATCCCAACATTCCAATCTCACTTGTCTTTAAAGAAGATAATTTCTCCTCTCATCGCAGTGACTGCATCAAATGACAAGTCAGGATCACACTTGGCTGGTGGCTGAGATTGTGTAGGAATGGATTCCGTGGGTGCAGTGGTGTTATCAGTGGAGGAAGGTGGAGGTCCTAAAGGGAACAGATGAAGGAATATAAATCTTAGAAGAAATGGGATGCTATGTTTTTCAAGCATTTGAAATTTCGGGTAGTATTACAAGTTTCCACCATTGCAATGCTGAAGATAGTCATTGCAATGTTTTTCAGTGTATTACATGTCTTATTTTTCCAATATCACTCACCATAGAGGGATTGAATGTTATTCACGTCATCTTGAGAAAGGCATAACAGGGATGGGTCTGTGGGTTTCTTGTAGAATGTGTACATCAAAGCGTCAGGGTCGTTTGAATGAAAGAGACCGAGGGCATGACCAACTTCATGAGCAGCCACCAAGAGAAAATTGGTCCCTGTGTGAAATCATAAACATTCAGCTATGTAGTTCTTCAATGCTCTTCAATGCCATATATAATGCATGCCTGTTTAACAGGCCACTCTTGTGATTACACAGTGACTTCTTACTTGTGGGGTGACACACTGATTGGCATACATACTTCACTGAAATACATTTTTAAGTTTGTCTTGAAAATGTCTAAGACAAATTTTCGCCATACCCTCCCTAGTCCTCTCCTTGATCCTGAAAGCCAGGTCACTTTTCTTGCATCAGCTGTGATAAAAAATAATTTCCAAAAGATACTTGTTTGGAGAGACTAAGAAGGTCAATAAAGATAACCCTTTTTGACTCTAATAAGTTAGGCAGTTTTTGAATTTATTAATATATACTCATGACAGTTCCAGTTCTAGCTCTCTGCACATTTTATTTTTAATACTTTTTTTTCTCAAGTTACCAACTGAAATCTTCAGTTCACCTATTTTTATTCAGCATGTTCCCCACCCTCCTTTTTGGCTTCTTGACACATTAGTGCAATATTCAGAGTCTCTTCTGATATCCATTTTGTTTTCTTCTTTCTCATCTGTCTTTGTAATGATCTTTTTCTCTCTTCATGGTTGATAGCCATGATATCATCCCACAACTCATCTGGAACATCATTGGTGTTCCATGCTTCAAACCTACTGTTAAGAAAGAATGGACTATAATCTTCACTAGAGAGAAGCTTGGAAGAACTCTTGAAGCCCTAATTCATAACATGAACAGTCTTCCAAGCATCCTGAAAACCCTACAACCAGGAGAGGATAAAATAAATGAATAGGATCCTCTAAGAATCAAATCCCTATGTACATCCAAATCTTCTCCAATAGGGTAAAAAGGGAAGCCATCTTGGCTTGGAAAAAATAGTTGGTAATGGCATTCCTGGTAAGGGACTTATAGCTAAAATTTCTAGAATACTGAAGTACCACAACAAGATATAGTTAAGCAACCCAATTGCAAAATGGGAATAGTATATGAACAGATACTTCACCAAAGAAGACATTCATATGGTGAACAAACACATGAAGAAATGTTCAAAATCCCTAGCTCTAAGAGAGATGCAAAACAAAACAACTATGAGACATCATCTCACCACAGTAAGAATAGCAAAATTCAACAGAGCAGCAAACAACTAATCTGGCAAGGTTACGGAGAAACTGGAATCCTTATTCACTGTTGGTGGGAATGTAAAATGGTGCAACCATTCTGGATGGCAGTATGGCACTTTCTCAGTGAAGGAACAGCAGAAACCCCATTTTTTATAAACCCCATTAATGATAGAGGCAGAAGTGGGCCATAAAAAATTCTTAGCTTAAGGCAAACACGAGTGCCCCAGGTAAAGCCTTGTCTGTCCTTGAAAAGTAAGGAATTAACTAGTGTCTACGTGACACAAAAGGAGTAAAGCTGGGCAAAGTAGCCAGCCAGTCAAAAGCCAACCCAAGTGACTGATCCCCCACCCACTAACCATGATCTCAATCTCCTTGCCCTAACAGGGGCACTCAAAAAGAGCTATAAAAGCAAGTGGAAGGGGGAACTCTGGGCTTTTTCCCTCACCACCTTCATGAGGAGGGAGAAAGTCTCCACATGTGGGATTAATAAACACTCCTGAAATTTTCAGACGCGTGATTGGACTTCCTTTGAGGGGAATTTTGTGGGCAGAACACTCAGAAAGTTGAAAATATAAATACCATTTGACCCAACAATTCCACTATTGGGAATATACCCTAAAGAAATCATAACTGCCACCCAAGCAGATATATGCACACCCATGTTTATTGCTGTTTTGTTCACAATAGCAAAGAGTTGGAAACAACCCCTGGGCCCATCAACAAATGAACAGATAGAGAAAGTGTGGTATATTCATAAAATGGAATATTATGCAGCACTGAAAAAACAGAGATCTCATGAAATAATATACAAAATAGGTGACCATGGAGGATATTATGCTGAGTGAAATATCTCAGTCATAAAAAGACAAATATTGCATAATACCACTATTATAAAACAGGACTGACATGAGAGTTGGTGGGAAACAAAGCAAAGAGAGGATAAATAATGTACAGGGCATTGAAACAGATGAGGGCGAGAACGGTTTAAAAGGAATATATGATTAGATATTATTGGCATGACAAGAGTCCAGAATAAGAGCTGCATAGTAAAGTGGTCTGGGGATGGGGAACAACTGTATAACAATGAAAGACTTCTTTTTCCAAAAATAAAGCGAACTGAGAGGGAGGGGGAGCAGAGAGGAAAATGTGTAACAATGAATGAATGGAAATCCAAGTTCTTTATAAACTTTCATTAAAATCTCAATAACACTGGGGCTATGTGAAAATCGCCTTCAGTTTTATCCGTGGCCGCAGGTGAGATTTGGTGCCTAGAGCCAGCAGGGGCCTTTGCTCACCACCCACTGCTTCGATGTGGATGGCTGAAACCCAGGCCCCAACAAGTGAAAAAAAAAAAACCTCAATAAAAAAGAGATTCTTAGTGAAATTAGCAATAGAATTTATTTAAAAAAGATTCTGAGCAAAAAAGAATTGAGGAAAAGTACATCATTCTATTCAACACGAGCATCAAGTATGAAATATTCATAACAATAATAAAGATTTCAACCAATCTTAGAGGTAACAACTGTTTCAGTAAAATGTTTATAAACTTTAGAAATAATTTGAAAAAATTATTTATAGATAGATAACA